CTTCTTTATATTTTTATGCTCTGTTGGTGTCGTCCATTCATAAACTAAAAAGAAAACGTATACTACTTTCTACGTTAACCAAAGGAGTTGCCCCTTTGCTGACCAGTAGAAAAGTATGTCCATCTTCGGTATACAGTCCATCTGCTGAAAAGTGAAGTCACTGTGCAAGTGCATTAAATCTGTACTCTTGTGCTAATGCTCAAAAGGGCCTGACTTCTGTCTGTGAAAACAAATGCATTACTTTAGAAGTCTGAGAAAGCTATTGCATGGGGATTCCACAAAAATTCACCTCTCATTCTTCATTTCTAGTTTAAAAATAATGATATTAAAAAATTGATGGCCAAAATGCACAAGCAAGATCTTCACAACAGAACCTCATAACCAGTAGGTGACATAATGGTGGCTGTGTGTGCCTCTGCATATAGTGTATGGTTTAAAAGGGCCTGCTTGGCACAGGTATAACCAAACACTCATAATTCAATTGTTATATCCACTATTTTGCTATCAGTCAAATCTAATTCAGATGAACACACTTAAACATGACTGTGGTGTTGGTGAAGAAGTTCACTAGCTCATCTGAAAAGGTTGTGGGGGGTCAGACTAAAGTCTGAGGTCATATGATGTTGTAGGGGCCCCTAGCTGCAAGTGGTAGATGGCAGTGGCTAGCTTACAGTGCAGTGAAATTGGATCCTGGTTGGGGCAGGAATGTGAAAAGTAATGTGGAAAGTGATGTAGGTCTGTCATGCAGTGTGGTTATTTTTCCAGCCAGGGCTTAATTTACTCCTCAGTCCTCAGATCTGCTCAGCATGGGCTCAAGAAAAGCGCCACCTTTCTTCTCCTCGAAAGACTCGCACACAACAAGTTCCTCAAATGGCAAAATAGTTTTCTCAGCTTGTCATTTCCTCTTTCCTCCTCCCCTCCCTTCTCCTTGCCCCACCCTTGTGCCACTTTCAGAGGAGGAGGGTGAAGGAAGTAGAGAGAGTTGACGTGTAAGCCCATAATGAATTTTGACTGACTGGCTCAGTACCTTAGCGGCTCCTGTCTGGCACACACTCATGTCATGAGAGGGCAGACTCGCAGTGATCAGTTCAAACTGTGAGGGGGTTGAATGCAGTAAAGCTATGACAGAGGAGGCATTGATGCAGTAAAAATAGACAAAGTAGTATTTGTTGGAATGAGTAACATAAACGGATGAAGGGTGTCAACGGGGCAAAACAATGTCCACAGCATGAGAAAGGCAACTGAGGACGAGCAGGCTTGGCTCAGCTTATGCTAGTGGGATGCTGTGATGAGATGCTGTTGGTGGGAGTACAGTGTTATTGACTTTGCTGCTTTTCTATTAATAATCCTGCCAATGTCAGCTCAGCACAGCTGGTTTTATGGGTTCCTTTCAGCTGGAGCAGGAGGGTTTGACTCTACATGGTCAAGCTGTGGCGGAGGTTGTCACGACTCCAGTTTTTTGGTTTTTTTAAACTGTTTTTTTAAACTGTTTTTTTAAACTGTAACTTGGTGAGGTGGAAAAGAAAGATGGGTGTTTTTAACGGATGAATCGAGGGTCTCAGTTTTAAAGGTCTTGAGTTCACCTTCTTTCTAAACGTTATGTTTCCCTTTTCCTTTCCTCGTTCCTCCTGCACTTCTAAATGTCCTGGCTCCTGCATTACTTCCTCTGTTTGGAACCACACTGCTCTGTGATGTAGGTTTGCACACCGGCCTTTGTTCTCGTCCTCGTGTTGTCTTTTGGTTCCTCTTTCAATCAGATTGTCTAATGGGGTAGAGCTAACTAACTCTGATTATTTTTTTATTTAAATATATTGTTTGAATGGGTTTTCAGTCATTGCTCATAAAACTGTGCCGTGCTGGTTTCAGGATGACTGTCCAAGTGTCTGCCACCATGTAATCACTTAATAAGTAATCTGTGTTATGAAAATCTAGATGAGTCGAAGTCAGGCTAAGCAGAATAGATGGTGTTTTTGCAGCCAAGTGTCACTCCACAGACAGGGATTCAGAGAACGCTTGATTCTTACAGGATTATGGATGCATTGGCAGCAGGGCTTCAAGAACAGGAACTGTGATCCTCAAGCAGGGGGTGGGTTTCATGAGCTTTAATGCACAGTGTTTTATCTCAATGTCAAATCAACATTCAAGACTTACTGTAACTGTTAAGCTCTACGGGGAAAAGCCAAGGTCTAAAATTGGCTGTTCTTTATCCCTCGTCTTCTACCTTCTATATAGAACAGACCTTGCCAAGCTAGAATAGCTACTGGGAGTAATTTTAGACCTCATTGCTCTCTGGAGAGCTAGTTTGAAGTATGTCACAGTTATCTGTGTCAGGCATGTGAGTCGGACTATGGCAGACGTCATTGTTAGATTGGACTTTAGTCCTCCTCTTTTACTGCTTGGCTGATTCTTTCTTTTATAGGTGACGGTAAACTGACTTTATGTGGTTAGGACAAAAACATTTTGAGTAAGTCAGACATAATGTAAGTGGGAATGGACAAATAGAAAAAGAATCTGTGGATTAATTGGTAAGAAAAACAACTGCTTGCAGCAGTTTCCACACATTAAATGTCTAAACTGCAGTTTCATATGAAAGACTTCTGGTTAACATTAATTTAAAATGAATAAACTAGCAAGTATTTGATCCTTAAGCAACGTGACTGCAGCAACAGATGGTGTGTGTATTTGTTAAGATTATTTGATACTTTTTATAGTGGCCTGGCAAACATGTCTCCCTGTACCTTTGAATCATAGCAAGCTAAAACAAACCAGAGTGCTGGGTGTGTTCTGTTTCAGTTCTTGTTTTTGCCAGACAACAAAGCTGCAGGGATTATAATCAGTTATGGCTCGTATACAAACTCTGCACGGGGCCAAGTGATCTGAATGTAGAGGGGCAAGTAATGGCCAAAAGAATTTTAAAGGAGTATGGGAGCACTGTCAGAGATGCACTACAAGGAATGAAGAGCTCTCAAAAGTATGGAGCAATGTTTGTGAAACTCTTAAAGGCACACTTGACATGCTAATGTGACAGGAAGAAGCCATAGAAAATGGGTTTGAGGAAGATGTAAGGGGAGAGGTATATAGGACAGAAATTTGTGGAATGCTTTTGCATGCTGTCTCTCCCTGATAAAGAGTGAGTATGGGAGGAATGTGACCCTGAAAAGACTGGAAAACAAAAGGAGAAGGGTGGGTGCTGGTGTTAGGATTGTGCACAGGGAGTCTGAAGGCAGAGGAGGAAGCTTGTGGCCACCTGAGAGAGAAAGCAGGACAAATTTGCCCCACGTTCTATTAGAGGATGGGGTCTGTAGACCACAGATGAGCTAGTGGGCGTGGTGCACAGTGATGGACGTCAGCTGTGGCTTAGTCTGACAGAGTGTTGATGGAGGACATAGAGCCGCAGGGGTCATGAGAAGAATGCCTCTGCCTCTGGTTTCTTTCTCAGAGCTCAGGGTTAATGTGCTGGAACAAGCAGCACTTTTGTATCTTAGTACTTTTTTGGTTTAGGTCCTCCAGAGTCTGTCACATTGAGAACAATTTATGAATGCTTCAGTTTTTAAAGGTTGTGTCCCTCTGGCTGAGAGTCTCCGCTGTTGTAAAGCAAGAGCAACTATACACAAATTCACTGTATCTCTAAATTTGGGGCTTTAGGGGGAAATGTGTGAGCTGTGAAGTTACACTGCTGTTGAACTGCTTACAGCTAAAGGAAAACGTACATGGCTTTTTGTAAGGCTCTGGAAATGTAAGACTTGTAAATCAGTGGTGTGTACAAGCAGCATTTTATTATGCTGAGCATGAGTAATTTGAACCTTATCCCACTGGACCTGCAGTGTGAAATTGCTCTCATCAAACACTTGACTGCCTCTATATATTCATTCAGATACAGTCATGACTGCCTGGTGAGCCTGACCTCTGCTGTGTTTTTCTTAATGTTTGCATATGAGTGACCAAGCAGATGCAAACTGTCTGTGTGCTTGGTTACCCTTAGAGGTGAGGGAACACTAGAAAAGACCAAGAAGCTGGGAAAATTAGTGTGGGTCTCCCGCTGTGCTAGAATGATAATTTAGATAGTAAAGGCTGGGGGTACTGGTGTCAGTGAAAGCAAACTATGTTCGGTTAATTGCTCACAGCGTCTCTACATTGACTGTTTGGGCGGTTTGGCTGTAGCCTGCTCATGCTTTTTTTTTTTTTTTTTTTTTTTTTTTTTTTTTTCTTTTGCGCTTGCCTTACTGGTTGTACTAGTCTAGTCACTTTCCATATGGGTTAAACCACAGCACTCCCTGTCAGCAAGCTGTTATTTATAAGCGTGTATAGACTAGGCTGAGCAGTGATTTCAATCTATATGATTAGATCTGATGTTTATCTGTTTGCACTTGTGTGTAATGTGAACTGCAACATTCAGTGCAAATCTCATTTGTTTTGTATTCATTTATAATTCACGAGTTTTATCAAACTTGGTAGTTCTCCTCCTACTTGATAGTTTTGCAACACATTAGTGAGAGAGGAGGCGTTTTTGGATGGGCCTCAAGGTGCCTACTCGGTGTCTATTGGAAAGGGGAAAGTACGAATGACATGTATGTGGGTGGCACCACACAAACATTTAAACTTACTCTAAATAATAAACCAAAACAATCAAGCAGGAATGTGAAAAGGGACTTTTCCTTTAGTTCCTGCTGTCTCTGTGATCCGGACACATGTTTCTTCCCTGCCACTCGGAATTTGATTAGGTATTCACAGCGTTTAGCTTCAGAGTAACAGAGCCTTGTTTGAACTGTTTCCTTTATGTCAACGCAGATCCGTATTGCTCTTGTACATTAGTGGTGACCTGTGCATTCCTCAGAGATTACATGTGTAGACAGATACCAAATAGAGAAGGAGTTAAACAGGAAATTACATGTAATAGTTTTTCTTTGAAGATGTGAAATTGCTCATTAGATTTTAGTGTGACACTAATCTCCCTGCACCGCTAACAACAAGCAATGTTTCTTTTTCTCTCTGTAAAACAGCAACCATGTCGGATGCAGACAAGTTTCTGTACGTGGACCGTAATGTGGTCAACAACCCACTGGCACAAGCTGACTGGGCTACCAAGAAGCTGGTATGGGTGCCCTCGGAGCGCCTGGGGTTCGAGGCCGGCTCCATCAAGGAGGAGCACGGCGACGAGTGCGTTGTGGAGCTGGCAGACTCTGGAAAGAAGATCCGAGTGAACAAGGATGACATCCAGAAGATGAACCCCCCGAAGTTCAGCAAGGTCGAGGACATGGCCGAGCTCACGTGTCTGAATGAAGCATCCGTGCTGCATAACCTGAAAGAGAGATATTACTCTGGTCTTATATATGTAAGTATGGAGCACTGGCCTTCTGTTGCTCTGTTCATTCTGTCTGCTGAAATCTAACATCACAATAATATACTAGATGTGATTTCTATTTATATTCACCCACATATTGTTAATCTTGGATCCTACTATAGTAACTTTGCAAGATTCAAGGCTTAAGCTGCAATTGAAAATGACATTCAATTAAATGATGCACTAATATGCTGATTTTCTAATAAAGAAAATACATTTTGCAATCATTATGTTCACTATTTGACTGTGGACCCATTATGCTCACATCAAACTGTGTTTTAATTCTAGGACTTCTTATGAATCACAGTTCAGAATAGTTTATTACACTGGGCTTTGGTGCAGCGCCTGACCTCATCCTGCCTGAAGCGAGCCGTTTCAGCTCTTCTTCCTTTGAAGAAAAAAACAAGCTTTGTTTTGATTGGCTTACGCTCATAAACAAAAGGTCTGATCAGCAGTTGGGTGGGGCTTTTGTGCCCACAGCCAGAGCTGTGTGCATGAGATGACCATATTAGGGATGGCTGCTGTCACTGACATCATACAGACCCAAGAGCAGGAGAAAAACCACAAAAAAAAAAAACCCTCTGAAAACTTTGCTTTTAGCTCATGGGGATTACTTCCTCGTAGACTTGCCTCATTATGTCAAACGTTAACCAGGTTGCTATTGTTATAGAAAACAAATGACAGGAAAAAGGAAGAGCATAGCTGTTCCCCACTGGCTCATAGAAAACAATCTACTCTTGAACCCTGTCTAACCTCCTAATTATCTTGTTAAGCTCCAGTGAAATGACAAATCATACACACCGGCTCTTCTTATAAAGAATGTGAACAGTCTTTCAACATACTAGTGGTATTTCAGCAGTCTTCTCCCTCAGTGTTGTCCCACTTTGTCTCTCTTGTTTGATCCGTGTGTCTGTGTGTTTCGGAGTCTTGTAAACAGGAAGCTGTAGGGAACAATACAGTCAGGAGTGTGAGAGATATGAAAAACAGTTTTGGCAGAGATGAACATGGAATGTAAATTATGTTGTAACTGCTCTTGCTGCCCCCATAATGAATGTTATTTACTCCATCTGGGCTGGGAGTGATTTTGGCCTCTTTGACTCTGCGATGTGTGACCCGGTCATATCAACACAGCCCGTTGTACCCCTCCCTCCAGAGACCCAGGCTACGGTCGGTTTGAGTGGCTCCAGGCTCTGTAGTCATGAAATTGGCCATCTCCCAGGGGAACACGGGTGTACAACAGAGGGAGAGATGCCTGGTACAAAGAAATTGGGAGGGCAACTCAGGAATGCGAAATATTTTTAAAAAAAAAACAACTTTATTTGTTATGCTATGAGGAGAGATGAATCCAGATATACAAAATACATGACTTATTAGTTTTATAGAAATGAATAAACAGGGAATTTTAATGTCTGACTCTGAGAAAACATTGTTTTATTGTGACTTGGCTGGCTTATCAAATAGTTGTACTTCTTATAATGCCAAGGTCAGTCATCAAAACTTGCAGCAGGGTGGGGTTAATATTACATAACACTGGAGGATTACAAATAAGAGTTCATGAGAATTTTTAAACTGAAGATGGGAAGTCCTTGTTATTGAGAAGCTGCGGAAGCCCTTTCCTTTAATGCGAACTGGCCATTTATATTAATTCAGTAATGCAGAGGGATGCAAATCTCTGATCACATATACACATCCACTGTGTTTCACAGGTTTCTTTCTCCAGTTCAGGCGAAGAGCACTTCTTTAATTGTTTAATTCTCATCCACTTTGCAGACATACTCTGGCCTCTTCTGTGTCGTCATAAACCCCTACAAGAACCTGCCCATCTACTCAGAGGAGATCGTTGACATGTACAAGGGCAAAAAGAGGCACGAAATGCCACCCCACATCTACGCCATCACTGACACGGCTTACAGAAGCATGATGCAGGGTAAGACACGATCCCAGCTGCCTGTCGAGATGAAAAAGATGTGGTGGCGACGTGCTATCATGAAAATATATTTTGTTTGCTGTTAAATGTTTAAAA